TTTTTTGAGCCGGAGTTTCACTCTTGTCACTTAGGCTCGAGTGCAATGGTGTGATCTCGGCTCACCACAACCTCTACTTCCCAGATTCAAGCAATTCTCCTGCCTCAGCCTCCTAAATAGCTGGGATTATCACCCATGGCTAATTTTGTAGTTTTAGTAGAGACATGGTTTCTTCATGTTGGTTGGGCTGGTCTCAAACTCCCCACCTCAGGTGACCTGCCTACCTCAGCCTCCTAAAGTGCTGAGATTACAGGCGTTAGCCAGCAAACCCAGCCACCTTTATGCTTTTTGTTTCTTTGATATATCTAAACTTAAGGTCAGAACAGAAATTCATGTGCTGAACAGAATGGATTCTTTTTGCAGTACCATCCCAGTTGAATCTTCTATTTTCCTGCTTCCTTACTAGTCACTTGGATAGTGCTAACCTACTCTATGGAGGTTATTCGGTGAATTAAGGATGATTAAAAAAAGACCTTGAAAATACTGTGTAATCTGTGGATTTGAGGCTTATCACTACCACCTGACTGGATAGAATATCAAAACCTTCAATCACTTAAGGTGACTGAAACTTGTGTAAAAAACACTATGACCCTACTGGGTCCTTTTTTTTTTTTTTTTTTTTTTTTTTTTTTTTCCTAAAGATGAGGCAATAGAAATTTATAATTTGAGACTACACTACCCCTTGTTTTAGCTCTTATCACAGCTGGCAACTGGTAGTGATATTTAATCCAATCCAACAACTATAAGCTGGGTTGAATCAAAGGTCATTATTGTCTAAATTCCAAATGAAATTAAATATAGTCACAGAGACTCCTAACATTTTCCTTTCATTTAAGGAAAATCACTTCTAAAAAAAAAACACTAATCAGAATTGTGCTGCTCTAATTAGAAACAACTTGTCTGGCCAGCTATTTGCTACTCAGAGAGTTTCTTATTTCTTAGATGAAAAAAAAATCTCATCAGTTATATTAATGTGATTGCAGCTAAAAAGTCAGTATTTTCTTTTCTTTGTGCTCTAATGTGGCTTTATTTGAAATTTCTCAAGATTCTACATTGTACTAATAGATTATGAATAACAAATTATAAATAAAAAGCTCTTAAAGAGAAAAACATGGCTTTAAAAAAATCATTTCATATTTCCTTATTAGCCTTTGTCCCCTAGGTTATAATGACTCTGACTTCCCACCTGTGATCCAAAGCCAACAGTAACAAGGTCACTTTGCTTACTCTTACATAAAAAATAGTACATATTTTGGCTAGGCTGCTTACTTCAAAAGGCAACCTATAGATCTCTGCACTAAAAGAGGCACAAATTTGCATTTGCATTAGTATAATATACATGTATTTGTGTGGATATTGCTTTTAAAATTTATGTAATCTGGCCGGGCACAGTGGCTCACACCTGTAATCCCAGCACCTTGGGAGGCTGATGTGGGCGGATCATAAGATCAGGAGATCAAGACTATCCTGGCTAACATGGTGAAACACAGTCTCCACTAAAAACAGAAAATATCAGCCAGGCGTGGTGACATGTGCATGTAGTCCCAGCTACTCAGAAGGCTGAGGCAGGAGAATCACTTGAACCCGGAAGGCAGAGGTTGCAGTCAGCCAAGATCACACCACTGCACTCCAGCCTGGGCAACAGAGTGAGATTCTATCTGAAAAAAAAAAAAAAAAATTATTTAATCTACTCATGCTATTTAATTACTCATTCCACTGATCCCTGAAGTCTCTTAACTAGTAGAGAAAATAACTGTGATTTAGCAAGAAGCAACATGGGGAAAGGTGACAACAATATGTATTGTTTGGTTGGATACAGACTCCTTACTGTGTCAGACTCTTGAGATCCTTTTGGAATAGTGGGTAGCACCACTTTATCAGAAGAGTCTGATATTGGAACTTGCTGGGTGATAAAGGTTTGATCTTGAAGCTTACTTTCATCCCTGCAATAATGACAAAATAACAGAGCTGTCAACAACTCTACAAACACGAAACCTGGTTTAGAGTAACAGACTTGTCATATTACTTTCATTCAATTAGCACATTCAAGATGACCACAAGAATCATTGTGTTGGGCTCATGTTCATTAATTTAGCAAGAAAGCTCTTACCCAAATTCCTTTGTTTCTCCACTGTCAGAAACAACATAATCTGGAACTGGAGGCCTAGAACTCTGGTTATATTTCCTGTAGTGGGTAAAAGTCAACAAAGATAATGAGGCAGTGTCTCCTCATGCCTTCATATTTTCTTTACATATCTAAATTTTTTAAAATTTTTTATTTTTGTGGGTAGATAGTAGGTACGTATATTTGTGGGTATGTGAGATGTTTTGATACAGGCATGTAATGTGAAATAATCGCATCATGGAGAATGAGGTATCCAACCCTTCAAGCATTTATACTTTGTGTTACAATCCAGTTACACTCCTTTATCTATTTTAAAATATACAGCTGGCCAGGTGCAGTGGCTCAGGCCTGTAATCCCAGCACTTTGGGAAGCCAAGGAAAGTGGATCACCTGAGGTCAGGAGTCTGAGACCAGCCCAGCCAACATGGTGAAACCCCATCTCTACTAAAATTACGTAATTAGGGCCGGGCACAGCTGCTCATGCCTGTAATCCCAGCACTTTGGTAGGCCAAGGCAGGTGGGTCACCTCACCTCAGGTCAGGAGTTCGAGACCAGCCTGGTCAACATGGTGAAACCCCATCTCTACCAAAAATAGAAAAATTAGCTGGGCATGGTGGCAGATGCCTGTAATCCCAGCTACTCAGGAGGCTGAGGCACGAGAATCACTTGAACCTGGCAGGGGGAGGTTGCAGTGAGCCGAGAGTACACCACTGCACTCCAGCCTGGGCAACAGAGTAAGACTCCTTTTCAAAAAAAAAGATTAGCCAGGCAGGCATTGTGGCACGTGCCTCTAGTCCCAGCTACTCAGTAGGCTGAGGTGGGAGGATCACTTGAGCCTGGGAAGTGGAGGTGTGATTGTGCTACTGTACTCTGCCCTGGGTGACACAGTGAGACCCTGTCTCAAAAAATATATATATATTTACTTTGCAAACCAATAAAATCTTAATAGTTGTTATGTTTCTCTTCAGTTGCCACTGATTCAGCTGAGCAATACTGTAACTCCTTAGTAATCATTACCTTAAACATCTAAGATGAATCTTTCCCCTCCCCGTTTAATTCCAATTCATCTTTCATTTTCATGCTTATTCATTAATCTCCCATTCTTTATCTCTGGGAGTTAGAGCAGTTAAGCAGTAGGGCCTTTTTCTTTTTTCTGGTCCTTTCCCATCCCTTTAGTTCTAAGTAAGAAGAGTAAGTTCACTGCTCCTATGTGGTTTCTAGATTTGATAACAACTTGATATTTCACTGTAGAAATAGGGAGTTACCTAGAAGCACAGCCATTCATTTTTGCAAAGAGCAATCTCAAGACTTTTTCCTTCTGCTCCCAGGTCAAATCTCCAATATCCACATTTCCTTCAATATGTGTCCTGAAGAATTTCAAAGGAAAAAAAATGTGAAAAGGAAAAATATGGCCAAAGTAGGCTTCTCTTCTTTTTAAAAAGTATATAATGTGTAATCATAAGATAAATTCCATACCATAATTGAATATTATGAAACAACTACAAAGCAAACTATCACAAAATCATAAAGTTGATAAGGATATCAACATACTAACCAATCCAAAATGTTACATATCATAAAGATGAAAATGACAAAAACTTTAACAACATGAAAAAATATTTGTGCTCAGACATTAAGCAAATAAGCAAAATAGGAAACTCTAAGGAGGCTGGGCACGGTGGTTTACACCTGTAATCCCAGCATTTTGGGAAGCCAATGCGGGTAGACCACTTGAAGTCAGGAGTTTGAGACTAGCCTGCCAAACACAGTGAAACTCCATCTCTACTAAAAATACAAAAATTAGGCCAGGTGCGGTGGCTCACGCCTGTAATCCTAGCACTTTCGGAGGCCAAGGCAGGAGGATCATAAGGTCAAGCGATCAAGACTATCCTGGTCAACATGGTGAAACCCTGTCTCTACAAAAACACAAAAATTAGCTGGGTTGTGGTGTGCCCCTGCAGTCCCAGCTACTCGGGAGGCTGAGGCAGGAGAATCGGGAGGCTGAGGTTGCAGTGAGCTGAGATGGCACCACTGCACTCCAGCTTGGGTGACAGAGTGACACAAAATCTC